CCCAGTGACCCTGGGAAACAACCTTTCTCAGCCTTAGTTTCCTCATCTATAAAATGAGGATGATAATAATAGTACCTACCTTCCAGGGTTTTTCTGAGGATTAAATGAAATTTCATGTGCAAAGTTCGTGGCAAACCTCAAAGCATTTTATGAAATTCCATGTATCATCATAGTTATTATTAGTGAGCTGTCTAGCACTATGAGGTTAAGTGACTTGACAAGGGTCATATAGCATGTATGTGTCAGAGTTGGAGATTTAAACCCAAGTCTTACTGGCTCTGAGTCTACCTGTTATTATTATGAATGATAACAATAAGAGTTAGAATTTAAACAGAGATTTAAGGTTTGCAAAGTGTCTTACATATATTATCTCATTTGATCCATTATCCAATTCTTCCTTTCTTGTCTAGGCAGTTACAGTCTGACAGAATCCATTTTTTTTTCTCTTCTCTTCATCTTCCTGACTCTCATTCAGCTCACATGCCCACCTGCATCCTTAGTCTCAGGTCTGGGGAGGATTGAGAGTTCACCTAATTAGAGTGATCTGCCTAATCTTTGTCAAAGGAAGCGAGGGTTGGTGTTTGGGAGTGGCAATAATCCTTTTATTTAGCCAGCTGCATTATTGAAGAGAGAGATAGTAGTTCATCCTTTCCACTTTGATGAGGTACAGCTGGTGAAAATCCTTCTGCCTGGCTGGCCACACACAGCAGTGTCCTCTCTCCCGGGAAGGGAGTGAGGGTGCCTCCCTCAGAGCAGGGAGTGACTTTGTCTCTAAACTGCATCTTGAAGGAGTGTTCAGACAGCAGGTTTTGGTGGCAGGAGGTCTAATGGTCAGGGAGAACTTTCCCAGGGTCCTGGCTAGGGGCCAGTTCCCTAATGGTTGGCTCTCTTCCCTAGGGTGCCCCTTGTAGTTTGAGCTAGATATGACATTCTCCTCTGACAGCTGCTTTGTCTAGGGAAGAAGGCTCCATCTCAGTCAGTCATCAAGAGCGAGTGTAGTGGTACCCCTGCTACCAAATGCAAGGCACTTACAGGGAGTGCCAGGTCCTTGTCGCCATCATTTGACTGGTATTATTGATAAAGCTGCCTTTTGATTGCAGACCCACTCTCGGTCTGCCTGCCTCAGATCCCTGGGCAGTGAAGTAAGTGGGAGGGGAGAAGAAGGGTGTTCAGGAGGAAACTGAAAGGGATTCACAAAAGATGCTTTGTGACTAGCATAGAAAACATGCCAGATCTGGGCTCTCTTTAATTGTACGTGTCTTTCCATTGTTCCTCTCTTCACATTAAGTTGGAAAGAAAGGCCAGGCTGCCAAGCAGCCCTGTGATATCCCACCCATGCTGGGCTTTTATCCCTCAGACTATTTTTGACTGCGAGCGCGCAGCATTTGAACTACCTTGAACTGAAATGAGTGGATAAATAAACAAATAATCTCTCACAGTTTCCTTAAGATCTTTCTTGAAATGTTGATTGGTTCTTTTATATTTGCTTTTTCCCTCATTGTAGAGATACAGAGGGAAAAATTACTGAAAGAACCCTACAGAGAAAATTATTAGCAAAAGTTAATGGTTGAGAAAAACAAAACTGGGTCATCCCTCCTCATTTTACAGATGAGAAAATTGAGACCCTGGTTGATAAAGGACTTAGGTAAGGTCATGCAGGTGGTCAGCATCACAGCGGGATTTGAACCCATGTCTTTCAACCCCAGAGGCAGTGATCTAAGCACCACAGTACTTCCCCTATTCTGTTCTCTTTCCTTAAAAGAATCTTCCTGTTTTTTAGTCTTTTCACTTCCCATTTCACAGAAGGATAAGGAGCCCTACTGGGTTAGACCCAGGGGTTGGCTGGTGAAGGTTTAACAACTAATTTTCTGAGGGAAAAAATAAATGCATGACACACTTTTAAGTTTACTCTGCAGCATCAACGTTTTCTCCATCACTGTTTTTTTAAGTCTACACAATAAACAAAACAGTAAATTCAGACTTGATTTGTAGTGTTTGCTGGTTTCTAAAGCATATATGCTTACATGGAAAATTTAACACTTGACTCTTGAAAGATGGTTCAAGCTGGCTTCAGCACACCTCTGGTTGGACCCTTTCATAAACTTAAAGTGCACAGATGTGCACACACATATAAAATCACATGCGTGCACACACACACACACACACACACTTATTCATATTATACATCAAAAGATTCAAAAATTTCATTAGTGTAGGTATTCCTTCCACCAACACAGATCACCTTCCTGTTACAAACAAAGTTTGAGGGGAGGCGTGGTGTCTGTGACCTAGTGGAGCTATTTCTTAGAGATATATAGATAAAACCTGCTAATGATATGATGAAAAGGGAGAGAGAAAAAGGGAGAGGGAGAGAGGGAGAGAGAGAGAGAGAGAGAGAGAGAGAGAGAGAGAGAGAGAGAGAGAGAGAGAGAGAGAGAGAGAGAGAATCAATTGGCTTTAGATTCATATCTATTAAGGTTACATGCTTATGATAATATTTCATACAATAGCAAGGAGAATTTTCAGAGTAGCAAACTAGCTCTGTACATTTCTAAAAATTCTGAGTAGCAACCCTGATTCAATAGGTTGTATGCATTCTCAAGAGTAATCTACTCCATTACTCCTGGTTTAGCATCTACATGTACAATACCACAAATCAGGACAGAATTGTTTATCTCATGGAAGCAAGCTGGAGGAACCTTTTGTAATGTTAATCAGACAGGACCTAGCATATAGTTTCAGGGACCTTAACAGTTGCAAATTTCAAAATGAAAGGGTTTAGCTTCTTGATATCACATGCTCAGGACGGCACTGGGGTTTGTGTTTATCAGTCTCTATTTCTCTACTAGTATGTATACAGTGAAACCATTTGTTGTTGTCATGTCTGACTCTCTATGACTCCATTTGAGGTTTTCTTGGGAAAGATACTACAGTGGCCTGCCATTTTCTTCCCCAGCTCGTTTTATAGTTGAGAAACTGAGGCAAAGAGGGTTAAGTGACTTGTCCGGGGTCACACAGCCAGTGTCTGAAGCCAGATTTGAACTCAGGTCCTCCTGACTCCAGGGCCAGCACTCTATCCTTTATGCCACCTAACTGCCCCTACAGTGAAACCATAGAGTCCTATAATTTAAAAGTTTGAAGGGACCTCCATGGTCATCTAATTGAATGTGTATATGAAAGAAATCACCCATGTGACATACCCAACAAGTGATCACTCAACCTTTGTTTGAAGACTTCCAAGGAAGAGCAGTCCAGTAGAACTTAACTACACTTTGTGGCCTTAAATATATTAACTTCCATATAAACGCAGATATATTTTCACTAAATCCACTTCTCATGCCTCTTCCTGGCATGAAGAACCTTGGGTTCTTGGAAGATAAGCCAGTGATACACAAACTCTGACAAATCCAACCTATCTGCCATTTTAGGGCCAGCTTAGCTAAGTTTAAAGAGGCTAATCAATACAAGTTTGACCACTAGCAGAACAACTCTTGAAATTATCAATTCCGGCATGAAGGGTGACAGGCCATTGTTGATCATTCAGTCAACAATCATTTATTAAGCTCTTGTTTTGTGCCAGCCACTGTCCTAAGCACTGGGGTTACAAAGAAAGGCAATAATAGTGTTTGCCATTTGTGAAGGTTATACTCACACTGATTAAATCATGTATATTTGTTCCTTGGCGTATTGAAGCTAGTATTAATACATGATTATATATGGCAGACAGGTAGCCATAGAACACTATGGTCTCTGTTGTATTCAAGATAAGGATAATCCAAAAGGTAATAGAGAGATTCAGAGAAGATCATGACAGAAGCACTATGATATGGTGGAAAGCAACCTGTTCTATAATCAAAAGACTTTGATTCTAATCCTGGCTGTACTGATTACTACCTTGATAAATCACTCCACCTTCATGGGCCTTACTTTCCTCATCTATAAAATGAATGGGTTGGACTGGGTGGGCTTTGAGTCTCCTTATATCCTGAGGTCTGTGATTCTGTTTTTCTCTGCTATGAACAAATACTGATGCAGCAGAAGTCGTGTAAAGATTGTCATCAAAAAAGTATAACTAAAAAAGAAAGTGAGACAGTCACAGAGTGAGGGCAAGGAATAACCAATGGCTAGCTTACTTGCACCATTGATAGCTTGCTATGTGAAGACAAGAAGAGGAGGGCCCCAAGCATGTCGCGTAGGCTCCCTGTGGTATACATATGGGAAAACATGGATGAGATTTGCCCAGAATGGGCTGGCATGGATGGGAGATTATGGACCCACTGAGAAGCTAGAATGCACATGTATGCACACATATACATATACATATACATATATATATGGATATGTGCATAATATACATGTGAACACACTATCATACTCACATGCACAAACGGGACATTGCTATTGCCATTGATTCACAGGTTGGGAAGTACGAATAGCATATTTTAGAGCTCTTCTCAACATGGTTGTCAGTCTCTCCTCAGGTTTGTTTTAGGGAAGAGGATTCATCCCTTGGATTGAAAGCATCATCTTAAATTGGAAGGGCCATCTCTTTGTGACCTATAAAATCCACAAATGTTTAGAAATGTGACAGAACTAAGAGAATATTTATTCTTCTCTCCATTTTACAGCTAGTTAAATTGAGGCCTAGAGAGGTTAAATGATTTGCTCCAAATCACAGATAATGCCTGAGCTGGAACTTAAACCTAGGTCTCTTGACCCAGAGCCTTCTGTTCTTTTCACTGTTATAAGGCCTTTCATGATTGTTTTTAAGGCATGAGCATTAGAAGCAATTCTGCCACCAAGGGACTGGGTGAGCTAAGTTTGATAACTTCTTCTCCTTCTCCTTCAAATATTTCATCTGTCAAATAGCGATATCTGAAACAAGTGTGACAAGAGGACCAGTGAAAAGACTATAGTTATCCCATATATTGCCAGCATCTGTAGTGTTAGATAAGCTGTAATGATCACTAACCATAACACTTTGCTCTGCATCCCTGCAGGTTTACCTATACTCTAGGAGAGGGAATGTGGCTGCCTCTAAGCAAGAGTTTTGTGATTCCACCTGCCGAACTGGCCATCAACCCTTCAGCTAAGTGCAAGACAGACATGACCGTGATGGAGGATGCAGTGGAGGTCAGGTGGGTTTGGGTTCAGGGAGATGTGATATGAGCCATGAAGAGGTACCATGAGGTTGAATGGTCTTAATTCTGGGAGATAAAACGACAGGCTGGGGAAGAAAGGAAGGGAACCTGTTCTGTAGAATTCCCTCACAAGGTACTCAGTGACTCAATGCTTATTTTCCTAGGAAGCAATAATGCCCACTAGGAAGTCTACTTGATGAATTGGTATGTAAATATATTCTATGACCGTTTGTGTGTGTGTGTGTGTGTGTGTGTGTGTGTGTGATTAAGGGAGAGTGGAGGCTATGGGGAGTATAAGCTTTCTTTCTCTCTCTTTCTCTCTGTCACACACACACACACACACACATGCATACACACACACATGAAATCTATAGTCAGAGCAATAGAATGATAGCTTCAGGCTCTATGCTATCCTTGCTATATTTGGTAAAGAACAATGGCCTTAGAGTCAGATGACCTGGATGCAAAGCCAGACTTAATCATGTATTAGCTATGCAAAACCCATAGCAAGACCCTTAACCCCTCTATATTTATGTATGCGTGTCATTCTGTACATATATAAATATACATATGCATGTTTTATACAAATATATGTGTGAATATATGTATGTGTGTATACACGTCATAAACTTTAGGAATTGAAGTTAAGGATCACTTAAAATCTAATAAGCTCATGGTACATGTGGGCAAGATGCAAAAAGATGTATTGTTCTTATTATCTTGTTTTTTTTAATACCACTAATATATTAATTGATATGAGAGTCAAGTTGGGTTAATTTTTAGAATTTTTATATCTATTCATCTGTCTATATCTATTTGATTTATACATGCATTATTTTCCTTATTTAATTTGTGGGGAGAGATATTGACACAACCCAACTGCTGATAGTAGGAACAGGTCACCCTGCCTTCTGACCAGCTATGGGTATGGCATTGAGTAGCTAAGAACTTTATTTTCTTTATCCACAAAATGGAAATCACACATTAATACATCCATCAACTCACAGGATCAAATGAGATAGACCACATGCAAGTGTGTGTAATCTGGAGGTGTAAATGACATCTTTTCTTTTTTTCTATGACTTTCTGCCTACCTCTACCCACAGAGAAGAGCTGATGACCTCATCCTCCTTCGACAGCTTGGAAGTTCTCTTGGATTCATTTGGACCTGTCAGGGACTGCACCAAGGATAATGGGGGCTGTAGCAAGAATTTCCGATGCATCTCAGATCGCAAATTGGACTCCACCGGCTGTGTGGTATGTTAGTTCCCCTCGGTCTTTTTTTTTTTCTTTAATGAAAGGAGGTCTGGGAGCAGGTCAGAGGATAGCCAAGAAAACCTAGAAATGCCTTTGGAAGGCCTAGGGATAAGAAAAGGCAGAAGGGGGATGACAGGAAAATAAACAAAGTGAATATTCAACTAGTGATGCACTGTGAATTGAAAAAAAATAAGAATTGAGACAGGAGCAGTTCTTTTTGGTTTTGACTATCAGCTAATCCACATAGGAGTTCCATTAGTAGTAGAATATAAGCTCCTTGAGGTCAACAAATGATGTACTTTTTCACTTGGAGCCCATCACCTGATACAGTGATTAACATACATACATACAAATATATACATATATAGTTAACATATAGTTGCCTAATAAACGATTGCTTGTTGGCTTGTGCCATTTCGATAGTTAAGAAACGAAGCAAACTCATCCTTCACTTTTGCAGTCATCAATCAATTAGGAAATATTTGAGTATATCATATGATGTTCTATTGCTAGGTTCTTTGGGGGAAAAAAAATTTTAATATATGGTCTGTGTCCTCCAAGATCTTACAACCCAGCTGGGGAAAAAAAAGACACACACGTGTGACCCAGTACAATGTAGGATCATAGAATAGAGTTGAAAGGGACCTTAGTGGTTATCCAATCTATTTTACAAATAAAAAGACTGAGGCCAAGCCAGACTAAACAACCTTTCCAAGTTCACATAGCTGGTCAGTGACAATGCTAGGACTGTGACCCAAGTTCTATCACTCTAGTTTGAGTGATCTTTCCACCATGCCACCCCTTGAATACAGGGTCCTGCTCTTCTGTTCTATTTGGATTTAGACTCAGTACCTTTTTTGCACCTAATAAATGCTCAATAAACTCTTTTTTCATCCATTCATTCATTCCATGCTTAACTCTGTGGCATAGGCTGTAAGGAAGAGAGAGCTCAGAATGGGCTAGAGTAGCTGGGGAAGGGACCACAACATCCTTACAGTCAGTTTAACACAGTCTCCCCACTTTTCAAGAGGGACACAAGGGATGGGCACCCCAAAGATAAGCAGAAGATAATGGTCTCTGTCAGGACCCATGCTTGTAAAATCCTTGCAGTGTTAATTCCTGTTCTTCTGTAGGTGACCGCTCACCTACCTGATCATTCCTTTGGAGCACCCTTGGCAACTCCTTAACAGTCTGAAACTGCTAAGATCAGGAGTTGGTTGGGCAACAGAGGACATTAGAATTTTTCTGCCACCTAGAAGAAGGAGGTTATGTTGACTGGGGTAGGAAAAAATGGGGTGGAGCTGCCTCAGCGAATTCTCATTGGCAGGGCTGTCTATTTTTTTTAAATCAATTGGGGTTAAGTGACTTGCCCAGGGTCACGTAACTAGTAAGTGTCAGGTGTCTGGTCTGAGGCCAGATTTGAACTCAGGTCCTCCTGACTCCAGGACCCATGCTGTATCCACTGTGCCACCTAGCTGCCCTAGCCTGTCTATTGTTTAAAGGGAGCAATGGCATCATCCTCAAAGTCTAGAGAAGGAATGGAGGAGGTAAAGTAACAAGGAATGGGAGTAGGGCAAGGGATGGGCATCAATCAGCAAGTGTTTATTAAGCACCTGCTGTGTACAAAACATGATGCTGGGTATCCACATACTAAGAATGATGGGAAGGTAAATGAGAGGAACAAGTATGAAATATATAGTATGTATCCTGGAGAAGACATCTTGGCTCTGCCACGTGTTAGCTTCGTGACCTTCAACTGTCTGGTGTTCAATGTCCTCATCTGTAAAATGAGAGGGTTGGGTATGATGGCTTTGATGATTCCTTCCAGCTCCAGAGCTACGACATGGTACCTTTCCTCCCTCTCCCACCTGCTTCTCACTCTCACATTACTTGTTAGCAAAGCAGCCCTCCACTTCAGCTGCTGGCTGTATTCTTTCTGAGTCCTTGTCTCTCACCAGCTTCCCTTCCCTTGACCCACACAGGGAACTGTTTTCTGCTGAAAATGTGTGTGTCCCTGGATCTGGAGAAGTGGAATGTTTCCTGCCACAAGACCTTTGTAGCTATCCATGGGTCTTTTGAGAAGGGAGGGAAAGGGAAGAAAGTCCAACAATTGAAGAGAGAGAAAGAGAGACAAAGGCAGAGAAAAGAAAGGAGGGAGGAAATGAAGAAAGGAGAGAGAGGGAAAAGAAGAGAGACTGGTGGAGGAAGGAGAGAGGGAAAGAGGGAATAAAAGGGAGAAGAAAGAAAGGAGGGAGGAAAAGTGGTAGGGAAAAAAGAGAGAGAGGAGAAAAGGGAAGAAAAAAGGAAAGAGGGAGAGAGAAAAAAGAGAGGAAAGAAAGAAACGGAGAGAGATGAAGAGGAAGGAGAGAGAGAGAGAGAGAGAGAGAGAGAGAGAGAGAGAGAGAGAGAGAGAGAGAGAGAGAGAGAGAGAGAGAGAGAAAGGGGAGGGAAAGAAAGAGGGAGAGATGGAGACCGAGACAGAGAAAGTGATGGAGGGCTGTGAAGGGGAGATCCTATCTGTTCTATCCTAGGGATAGGAAAGTAGAACAGAGTTGCCTTATAAGAACACACCATGGAAAAGATGATTAAGGTTACCTTTGATGCCCTGTGGCCAAGGGCTGGGTTTATTCCTTATTCTACCTTTCTTGGCTCTTTGCAGTCTCATTTTCAGTGTTTCAAGCAGTGAGGATCCCAGTCAGGTCCTTCAGGAGACAGTTTCACTGTCTAGCAGAGCTCAAGGTTAGGGCATTTTCTTGCTATTCAGACTGCATTTTCTTCATCTAAATTTTAAACTTTCTTTGCAAATTGGATCACGCCAAATGTGCATATGTGTCTGTGTACACATACATACACACACACACAGACATTTCAAAGACATGTTTACTCTCTCATTCTCTCCCCTACACCTCTACCCCTGCCCTATCCTTCATGATGGTTTGCCCGTCAAATCCCCCTAGTCTATCATCCTGGCCTTTTGCCTGGCTTGGATCCAAGCTGATGGATTTTTTTTTCTCTTTTAACACCATGCTCTGTGAGACTGGAGCTGGCAGGAATCACGGAGAGGAATATGCATTTGTAATAGGGACTTGTCTTTTAGAATCTGTCCCCTAGGAAAAAGTCAACTCATAATATGAGTAGATCTGAATTCTCATAGCCCTTTGCAACCACCAGTCTCATGACTCTTGGGTAAGAAGAATGATCAGTTGGACCAGTTGACTCATTGTTTCATTTTGCAGATCAGGAAATTTAGGCATACAGAATCCAAGCATATGGAGAAACCCTAGAGTTCATGTAAAGGATACGCGTCCCTTCTCCGAAGTGCCAAACAGGTGATCACTCAGCTTTGTCCAAAGGCTTGATCTGAGGAAGGGGTGGAGGGAACGGGGTTGAGAAATAGCTGCAAGCTTCATCCCTTTCCTGAGAGTCCCTTTGTGCTGTTATGAAAGACAGACATATGCATAGACAGAGCTCTGTCTGCGGTGCTTGAGATGCAGCGCTACCCAGACTTGTTCAATTCATACATTCAACAAACAGTTGTGAAACCAAATGCAATACAAGGCACTTGGTGGGGGACAGGGGAGACAAAGCTTAACTCACATGATTAAGGCAGGAAGAGGCCTCAGAAATTATATAGTTCAATCCCCTTTACTTTATAGATGAGAAAACTGAGGCTCTGAGAGATTAAGTGATTTTTCCCAGGTCATGTACTTGATAAGTAGCATAATCAGGATTCAAACCCAGATCCTCTTATTCTCAAAGTCCAGTGATCTTTCCACTATAGTCTAATGATATTGGGGGCAAGCATTTAAGTGCATACCATGTGCAAGGCATTGTACTAAATGCTTTACAAATATATCTCATTTTATCCTCAAAATGACCCTGGATGGTAAGTGCAATTATCCCCATTTTTGCAACTAAGGAAACTGAGGCAAATAGAAATTAAGTGACTTGCCCAGGGTGATGCAGCTTTTATGTGTCTAAGGTCAGATTTGAACTGAAATCTTCCTGACTTGAAGCCTAGAGTTCTATGAACTATTGTGCCACATGGGGGGATGAGTCACAAAGAGATAATCACGGTCTACATGATAAATGCTTTAGAAAGCTGTAAAACAAAGTGCTATGGGAGGTTTTTTGGGGAAACTTGTGCATGCTGGAGACAAAGAGGGAAGAAAAAGTGTCATATGGATAGTAAGTAGCAGGGGGAGCATTTGAACTCAACTTCTCTGACTTCCATTCAGGGCTCTTTCCATTATACTGGCTCATCTCAATTTGAATTGCCTCCAAGTAGTCCATCATTATGGTGTAGTCATGTTATCCTGTAAGCCTTTTTGCATCAAGGGGCCATTCTGGCATCATCTCTGGACTTGGTATGAGGGTGATCTGTGTTCCAATTCCAATTCAGCCATGTACTTACTGGGGGGAGGGGAAGAGAGGGGGAGAGAGAGAGAAAGAGAGAGAGAGAGAGAGAGAGAGAGAGAGAGAGAGAGAGAGAGAGAGAGTGGTGAGGAGATCCTGGACAAGTCACTTCTCTGAACCTCAATTTCCTCATCTGTAAAATGAGGGAGTTAGATTCAATGACCTCGAAGGTCCTTTCCATCTTTAAATCTATGATCATACCCATTTCCTGGGCATGCCTCCATATGTATATTTCTCGTAAGGGAAGATCAATCTCTGTATATGTGGTTTGGGTCACAAGAAGAAAATCAGCCCAATTATGTCCATCTATAATGGTAGAGCCTACACACCTCTCTCCCATCAATTATTTGTAGATATGGGATGACTTTTTCTTTCTTCCCCAAATTTTGAGCATCAACACTGCTGCTTCTCTGCCTTTAAAGAAAAGATCTGTGTGAAGGTAACCCCAGGAAATGGAGGATTTATTGGTTAACAAGAGAGTAAAGGAACCCCAGAAAACTTTGGCCAAGTAGTTTTCCCAGTAGGGCAAATTGATAGTGTTGGGATTCCTGTTTTGTCCCCATTATCAGTTCAGCCTTTGTCTG